GAAGAACCCTACGCTCAGACGCTCTCGGGAATTAGTGAGAATCTGTTTGAAGACAAAAATGGAAAAGTACCATTTGCATCCATTTGCAATCATTTGCAGAGGTACGTGATCACCAGGTGAAAAAAGTTCAAGCTGCTTGCATAAGCATCTTCGTGAAGTGGTGCAGAAGACTGATGGAACATTCCATCCCGAGCCATGCGAGTAGAGCAAACATAAATTCTTTGACAGTGCCAACGAGTTCAAACAGTCTCAACGAAGTACGCTGAACTCCATGCCTGGTAAACACAAGCTGCGCATAGCTGCGCACCATGCCGTCTGCGTTCAAAGTGCATCTTGCTACTAGGGCTTCAGAAACTACAGAGTTCATCTATTCACCTGTGCTGTTTTCACGCTCTTGAAAAGTATAGTCGCCATAGCGAGTGCTTTCCGGCCAATCAGCAATATTGCATCTGAATGATATTATCAGTGAGTACCATATCAATACCTTACCTTTCCTATGATTCTGATTCTGTCTTTACCATTCTCACATGATAAAGCACCTTAGTTGTCAGTGGTGTTTCGTATGTGCCTCTCTTTCTATTCTCTTGACATCCCATGTCGACTGGAAGGACTGGTTGCATAAGTCAAGCAAGTTTGATCCATTCTGCGCAAATTCTGCAACCTTTTGAGAGCTGTTTATATTAAGCGCCCCAACATCAACTTGAACGGAGCCTCAATCAATGGGTTGAATTTCTGTTGACGGTACCCACATGACTCAAATGACGATTACAAGTGATCACAAACTTTGTGATGAGCCGGAAATACTTGGCTCATTGCTCTGCTTTTAACATGGCAGCATGTCACGAAGGCACCAAGGCCACCTTTTTCAATTGGAACACAATGGAACACAGTTTTATTTAGGCTGGCGGCTAGCAGCTCATTTCAATTCATTTCAATTACCACGCGTCCCCCTTTGAAATATGTGTGTAAATGTAAATGCAAATTCACAGAGCCCTCCAGGGCGACATTCCCACCACAATGTGATGCGAAACGTCTTTTCAACATGATGTTTCGAAGCCAAGCAAAACACACCCAACACACACAATCGACTTAAATCGTTCCGTTATCTTTCCGGTATCGTTCCAGTATCGCCAAGGCAACCTCCGAACACTTCCTGCAGCAATTCCGGCCATTTCGATCAATGTGTCTTCATCATTCTACAAATTCTACCGATATTGATCGATATTCTATCGATATTTATCGATATTGATCGATATTCTACGTATCCGTTGCTTTGTTTGCCCACTTTGACAAAAGATAGGAAGCGAACATTCCGAACACTGCAACAGCGGATACAGTCCAAATGGAAACAACTCCACCCTTGACAATAAACTTCCAATAAGCACGACCTTTTTTTCCTTTTCGTCCGATTCGATCTGCTGTAGGTCTGTCTGCACTGTATTTTATTAGAAAAGTTCTGTGCCATCAGAAGATTTCACAGCCTGAAAATGAGTCCAGCTGTTTTCGTCTCGTGAAATCCTTTTGAAATGCACTGTGAAAGAAGGTTAACGAGTCACAGAGGCGGAAGCCAGTGAGACCACAAACGAGGTGAAACGACACGGATTATTCAACCGTTATTCATGCCCTGCAACCCTGACCTGGTCGCCAATGTCGTTTCAACAGCTCTGGCGTCCACGTCCATGACTTTACTCCAGAAGAGCGGCGCCAAGGAATCACATGTCAACATGCCACAGTTCCTAAAGCAACAAGCTCCCACACTCCACTGCGTCTTGCCAAGTAAATTGGTGTAAATTGACTGTGAATCTATTCATTCCACTGGTCACTGGTTCTCTCTACTGTGGGCGATCCTCGCAAAATGTTGGCACACCTGGATTGTGCGCATTCAATTGTTGCGGGATCCATGCAGACACTGTGAACAGCGGTCCTTTCTTCAAAAAATCCTTCGCAGGCGGCAGGGTCTGCCCAAACCACCGTGAAATAGGAAGGCAAAGGACTGTGGCAATGCTCTGGCTTCAATCGGCTTCTCACAGGAAGCGGCTTCACACAGGAAGCGAAAAGATTGAAAATCGGACGAACCCCTTGGGTGACCACCCGTCCTGCACAAAAACCACAACAACAACAACAACAACAACATCATCATTTTTTCAAAATCCTATGTGCTGATATGTGTGCTGATGATCAACATTGTACAATTGGTGCAGGACATTTTGCAGCAAAGATATTCCAAGACTATGTACGTTTATTTATTTGATGAATTTGGTTCACATTTGTCACAAGTCAAGTCAATTTTCACAGAATGCGAGGAGGGTCTCGTCCACTGCGACCACGTATTGCAACGCGGAAATTTCGCTTCAGAAATTCACCTCTCCCGCCTCTCCCGCCTCTCCCGCCTCTCCCGCCTCTCCCCAATCTTCTGTGCTCACCAATGGCTGGTGCAACGCCGAGCCGGGTGACATTCGAATGGGATATCATGATGAATCATTGGAATCTCTTCAACAATGTGTAGCAGTGATTAGCAGTGTAGCAGTGTAGCATCTCTTCAAAACACATCACACCTGTCACACTGCCACAAACATCAACGGTCATGATCAAAGGACGTTCGATCCACATCCGAATTCAACTTGTTGGGGTGGAGGGATAAAGAAAACTGCGGAAGGCATTTCCGAATTTGGTGTCCTGGCCCTAGCCCCATCATCGTGGAGCTGCGCTCCCACTCATTACTCTGCCAGTCGCTCTGTCACAGAGTGTAGACCACAGCCCTGTCACAGAGTGTAGACTACACGGTCTGGCGCAGATGGAGAGGACTGCACCTCGATCTCAGGCAAAGACGCAAAGAGGTCAATGCAGTGTGCCGGCCTTCAAACCAAAATGACACAAATTCATCCTGATAGTTTCTGATAGTTTATGGGTTTTGGATGTCTTGGATTTAAACCGAACAAATCCTCAAATCTCAAATAGTCTTCAAACATTCTACTGATCTGCTAGCCCGTGCATGTTGTAACCCTAGCAGCTTGGTAGCTCCAAATTTGCCCATCTTTGTCGGTCTTGGGTCCTTGCCTGCATGAAGAGTAACGAGTCTGGGTGCATATTGAGGCCTGACAGACCAATGCCAATCATGTGCTCAGCAAGGCGAAAGGCACAGAAGTGGCAGAATGCACAGAATCGACCCTGGAAGTGTTGAAGCCACGAGCTCTCCCTCAAGGCAAAAAAAAATTAGCAAGATTTACAAAGAAATTGATTTCACCTTTGCAAAGCGTTGGGAACACACAACGAGGGGCAACTTTTCTAACCGTGAGGGCCCAAGGGTTGCTTCCACTTCGCTGTCAGATTTACGTACTTTTACATCAACAACCTGCCCACAAACCTGAAACTTGGGTTAGACATGACTAGACATTGTGCCTCTTCATCCTCTTCTGTGTGCACATTGATCACATTGTAGCAAGGAACAGACGGAACAGACTACCAGATTTGGTCGAGGCACACAGCGTGCTCCAAGGGCGGCTTTGATTTTGTAGCTAGTGACGCTAGTGACGCTAGTGGCCAAATGTGGCTAACGGCTAACACTTGCCAATTGTGTCTTCCAGTGCGGCCTGCAGTTTGGCATCTGATTGCTGCTGGCGCAATCTGGTGCCCAAAAAAAGTTACTATACGCAAAGCCTCTCTGCCAAAAGATGAGTTTGATTCAGCCAAAACGGCGTGAGATCATCGTATAGCCAAACAGGCAATTTCTTGCCACAGAAGTGGTAGTGAAATGGTCTCAAGACCAATTCTACCCCGTACGTAGCCTCCCCATACCGTGCTACGTATGACAACCCGGACTCAGTAATCCTTGGAGGGTTGAGGTACAATAATAAATTGTATGCCCAAAAGGGCCAGGATTTGTCCTTAGTGGTAGCAGCGTCAACAATCAACTATGCCCTACAAGCCCTTGTTTATCCGAGGGCCTGACGAGACGGGACAAAAAACTTCAGCCGTTTGTCTTTTCAGCATCATTTGCCAACAGTTGCAAGAGCATGGTCAATATCTGTCATGTTGGGCAGCACACGACCAGGTGGTTACCGTCACACCATCAAGCCTTGGAACAGTTGGGCACCAGAACCCCAAAGAAAGGCGGTCATCTCTGGCCTTTTGTGCCGAGGGCTTTGCCAGTGCAACATAGTTTTTGCACGGAAAAGTGCGTTCATAAATGCTTTTAGAATTTTGCTGGATGCCGCATACCCAATGCAGGTAGCGAAAAACAGGCCCGCAAGTGGGCCGAATCATGGCAGCAAAAACTTTCATCATCAGAAGCTTCTAACTTCATGCTACTTGTCACATATGTAGATTCTAGCTGTTTCGTGGCCCATGGCTGGGCGTAATTCTGATGACCCACTCCATGCGCAAAAGAGTCTCAGATCGTCACGAAAGGAGGTGTCCAAAATAATCACTTTTGCACCATGCATGTAGACAGTCTTGTTGCACGCGTTGACATGGTTCACCCTATCCAAGTTGCGTTGGCACTTTGTTCGGAACTTGAACAGCCTGAGTAGTGCCCCGGAAAGAGTCACCCGTTGGTGCCCCGCAAAGCTCACGGCCGATATGTTTGTCCAATTTTACCAAGTTGTTGTTCTGAAATTCAGAAAGAATGCAACCGATTTGCTGAAAAGATAATGGGACATAGCCGGTGCCTCGTCTCCTTGGTACAGTGATGTAATTTATCCCCGTCGCGTGCCAACATGTTGTAACATCGGCCCAAATCTCGGAGGCTTAGGCGATTGGTAAATGGTGAAGACAATGGCACATGTCAGCAGATTCAGTCCAGTGACTGATGCCTTCCGGAAATTCTTGCCGCAGGAAATCATTGTAAACAATACTCAATATGACAATGTCTTGGACAGATCGACAGTCACTCAAAAAATGACGTGGGTAATTGTCAAGCGCAGCATCACTCCCCCTGCAAACAATTTAATTAATTCCTGTTGCGGGGGGTTGCATGTTTGTCAATAATTAATCGCCATTTCAGCTCTGGGGCCTTCCACTTGGGCAAGAGTTTGACTGTCCCAAGCTTCCAGGCAGCTCGCCGAATTTAACTCAAGCTGGTGGGCTGCAAGTGCTCAGGGATTCCGGTGATGGGTGACATGTCGTCAATGCCAAAATTTCAGAAAATTGTGAAACCATTCAAAATCCAAGCTCTTCCCATGTGGTCCAAAGTCCAACAGCTGTTGTCCAAATCGTTGCCCCTGTGATGTCTTCAATGTATGCGTCAGTTGGGTCAATTCTGCATCGAGTCTGAAGACATCGCAGTGATTCTCGCATCAATGCGAGGACGTGAGAGCGCCGAGGCGGCAAGGTGATGGAAGCAGGATGATGGGCCAAGTGACTCAGGCCATGAGGCCATGGTATCATCTGCTGTGGTGAGGCTGTGTGGAAGCTACCATCAATGGTGACCCCAGTGAAGGCAAATCAACTTTGGTACCCCCCGGGCAGTTGACAATGCCTGGGCTAAGGCTGGTGTGCGGGACCAATGAAAGCGAATCCGTGCATGTCGTACAATTGGGACCCAAATTCCATTTTTCGCCAGTGGTCAAGCAACTTCTTGGAACACGCGATTACCATGTGCATGCCTGCGCTACTACCAACCCAGGGTATGTGACACTGAATGATGGAAATCGGCGGGGACAAGGTCCGTCGTACACTGCTGATGCGATGAAAAACTTCTAAGCCCCTTCTACAGCGAAAGCCTTCTTCAGAATTCTGTGCCCTATTGACTACATAGACCCACTGGCCAGGCTCCAATTTCCAAGCTTTTGTGCAGCACACAGGTTGGATCCGTGGAAGAAATGACCACACACAACAATGGCAATTTGTTGCATGTCAGCCTTCCAACTTTTTTGTGCCAGGTGGTGATCTGTGAAATCAGTACAATCTTCAACTTTGCGCTTCCGTAATCTTTTCAAAGGTATTTGTTGTTCAAAAATTCTGTCCCAGATGCCTTGAATGACAGTTTCTACGCAAAAGAAAATGTACTCGGGGAGGATTTAACGTGCCAACCCGTTGGATCACGCTCCTTTCTTTAGATTTCCGCAGTTCATGTGGAACAAGCATGATCGGGATGAACAACCATTCGCAAATGGACGCTTTTATTCTTTGCGGGTCAGTGTCCCGACTGAGGATAAAATCAAAAAACTGTTGGGAAAAATTGTGTCTGGCACAAAGACGAACAACATGTTCATTACGTGGATGTTGCATGTCATCTGTTACGCCGACGTAGACAAGGGAACCTAAAGGGGTTCGAACAGGAACAAAAGGCACAATCCAATAGACAACAGAATTATGCCATAACAAATCTCAACCATTTTCCCAAGGGTGTAAGCCGATTTTGTTGAGTAGTCGGTTGGAACAGCGGCACGACTTCGCAGATAGCATAGCTAGCCACAGACCGCCTGCCGTTCGCATGATAACCTCCAAACCCTCAACTTGGCCCGCGCGGGAATTTAAAAGCCAAAACTGTACAACCATGAATACGTGCAGTGCTGCAACACAGAAGCGTGCCACTGCAGCACTTCCTGGAAAATCATCCAGCCAGGGGGGGGCCCTTCATCATGTCCGAAGCACGTAGGCGTGCCAGTAGGCGGGGCAGGGCTTCGTTTTCTTTTTGCTGTCGTCGACGTTCAGGGACTGGCACAGGTTGTTGAAACATTTTCCGGCTTTTTGAGCTGATGTTTGCGAGGAGTTTGCTGAAACGCTTGTAGTAGACCTCGTAGGTTGTCCGGCACACCTCGCTCATGGCTTGGCTTTGTCTTGTTTCAACTTGCTTGGGAAGCGGTTTGTTTTGGTGATTTGCGCAGTGCTGAGATCCATGTCTGCCACGTCAGCTTCAACTCGACGGCGAACTGCCTCTGCACAATCCTGATGGGCGGGTGGTTCTCTTGCTTTGCTTGGTGTTTGTGGGTTTTTGCCCATACGGCTCAAGCCGTGCAAACCGTTGGGGGATGGGCGGGCTGGCTGGATCGGAAGGGGGCCAGTGGGTGCTGTGGGCATGTGTTTCACGGGTGCTGTAGTCGATGGATCGTGCGGGGGGTGCTGGACTTGTCTAGTTTCTGGGGGCAAGCCTTCAAGTATTCTCAAGTGTTGCCTTCCATTTCAAGGGGGATGGGATGAGCCTGAAGATCCCCGGCCTGAAGATCTCCCAAAACCTTCTGCAAGTTTCTCTGCTCATGGGTGTGAATGTCCAGGATTCATCTTGCCAACGCTCGCGCTGTGAGGGGGAGCTTAGAAGGGCTCATCTCTCACGCCTGAGCTCGTTGATTTTCCGGCATATTGTTTTGCGTTCCGTTTCATCACGGATGTTGTCGATGTCTGTGCGGATGTTTGGGGGGACTGGGTATGCCGCTTTCTGGAGTTCTTGGGTTATGTCGGGGCAAGAGCCTGATACACTCCAAGCGTATACCTTGAAAATTGGTCGGGGCCCATTTCGGCAATCAATTGCCGTGGGCTGTCGGTATGAGTGCGGGTGCGTCGGCGATGAGGCTGGCGTTCACTGTGTCTGGGCGGGGACCGGGAACGGTCACAGTACCGGGCGGGGGAAGGATGCCAAGTTCCGGGAGGTAGGTCATGATCTCGGTCACGCTCACGGCGGCGACGCAAAGGGCTGGGTTCCCGGTGCGATCTGCTCAGGGCGGTCTTTTTTACTGAGCATGGTTGTTAGCTAGGATCCTGGGCAGATATGTGGCAAAGCGTGTCCATAAGCGTATGTATGTCAGGATGTGTGCAGAATCAGGATCAGAAATGCAATCTTTAGCGATGCTTCAAAACATGGAAAAGGAACATCAATGCAAACTGTTTCAAAGCATTTACGGTCAAAAAGATGGCCTTCAAAGGGCAAATGAGACAAGCCTACCCCAGGGTTCGATCTCCTGGTGTCCACATGGGCACAGGCCGTGTTTCATGAGTTTGATTCAGCCAAAAAGGCGTGAGATCATAGCCAAACAGGATCAAACAGGCAATTTCTTGCCACAGAAGTGGTAGTGAAATGGTCTCAAGACCAATTCTACCCCGTAGGTAGCCTCCCCATACCGTGCTACGTATGACAACCCGGACTCGGTAATCCTTGGAGGGTTGAGGTACAATAATAAATTGTATGCCCAAAAGGGCCAGGATTTGTCCTTAGTGGTAGCAGGGTCAGCAACGGTCAATCACCAGACCACCTCAAAACTTCTTCCACCTGAAAGGGCCTAAGGAAAAACTACTCTGCCCTGAACCGAAGAAAAAGAAGCTCAAGAGCTTGTAAGCGTGGAAAGCTTCCCATCCGCTGCATCGAGGCAAAACAGAAAAACCATGAGATTTCAAGATCCAAACCCTCCATCGCATATGACACATGGGACCTGTGCAGTCCCGTCGCAAACCACCCGCCTCGCCTATCTCGTCTTCGTTGGCAAAGCCACTCGCAGATTGCCTAGTTTGGGCTTGGACTGTACCATTCTGCTGCCTCGTTGCGGTGCATTTTTCCCAAGCTGACGAAGTGACGGTCTGACTACAGTCTGACTACAGTTCAATAAGCTTTCAATGGCTTTGACCTCAAACATCGAGCAGCATCAGGCAACATGAGAAAGGAGCCGAGAAAAAGGCCTCAAATGCTTGTAAAAAACTCTTTTCGGAATGAGTGACACCACTAGTGGCACTGCAGCCACACTAAGTGAAGTGACTTCCGGCTACGACCCACAACGCTCCACCGGCTCCCTCGGCTGGGCTTCCGTGCCGATGTCCTCGGCCTTTGCCTGGCCCAAGATCAAAGAAAATTCAGGGGAAACAATGAACCCACGTTGAATCCACGTTGAATGGTGAGAGAAACCCGGCATTGTGAGCTAGCACCAGCTTGCGTTAAAATCGCAGCATTTTCAGGTTGCTCGAGGTGCGGTGCGGATCGGTGCCTTTTCCTTTTCGAGGCCAACTGTTCTGAAGTCCCATCTCATGCACGTTCGTAGCGAGACTCTGCTCCATTGACGCCAAAAGTTCTGGAGAGACATGCCTCGATGCCAAATTTCCGGAAACTTCGCATGATATTACACTACCACAAGACATGCACAGTCTCAGTACTATTACAAAATTGGCACATCTGAGATTTAAATGGCCACCAGGTTTAGCCTCTTGGATAGTTTTGTTGGGAGAACTGCTTCGTAGTCAACATCCTTGGGTTTATCTAGATTTAAGTTTGAGTGGGAAACAAGGGGTACTTGGGGCCGCTGCCGCTGCACAGCGTCCTGTAGCGGCACTTGGACTCCTGTGGCCCGATACACTTGGACCTCAAGTCTGTCGGACATCCCAACATCCCAAAAGCATGGGCTAAACTGCAGAGCGCAGAGATAGTTCCAATATAATCAATACAATTCAATATAATTATCACATATGCCAATGCAAAGGTGTTGTCATCATCTTCTCAAGGCTCCTTGTTGGAACACCATGGGCGCATGCGGTTGGTGAACAGCCTGTCGGTGACTTCGGAAACAACCCAGCCGAACAACAACTTCTGCCATGACCTGTGACCTATGACCTCGGACTTTGCTGCCCCATGCGCCTGTTGTCCGGATTTGGCCAAGAAGAAGGCGAGATTAGCAGCCAATCCTTGGATGTAAGCCTGTGCAACATTGCGAATCGCTGGATGCTCCGTACCTTGGCAAAACCGGACTCATCGAATCTCGTCCTTGAACATGATCTATACTAGTTTTGCTCTGTTTCTATACATGTATATGCAAATACACACATAGAGAGAGAGAGGGAGAGAGAGAGAGAGAGAGAGAGTGACAGACCGACCAACCGACCGACCGACCGACAGACAGACAGACAGATAGAGAGATAGACAGACAGACGGACGGACGGACAGACAGACTGACAGACTGACTGAGTGACTGACTGACTGACTGACTGGCTGACTGATTGATACATGGATACACTGATTTTGATATTGATATTGATATTATATAATATAAATATGTTTTGCAAGAAATGAACAAAATCGATCATCGTGCTTCCAGTATGGATCTTTCACTCAGACCATTGAAGCTACACAGTATCTGCATCCGAGCAAAACTCGACAGGAAAGCAGTTGTGGCTGTGGCAAAGCCAGGCTGAGGATGGAACCCAAGTCGCACACCTCCTGTATCTTGTCAAAGTGGGCCTAACAACATGCGGACCAATGTGACCAATGGCAGCGCTTCGCAGAGTGCAAAATGCCTTCAATCCTTTTCAATCCTTTTCAATCATTTCAATCTTCAGTCACATCGTCCTTGCCATTGCCTTGCCATGGCCTTGCCATTGCATTGCCATTGCACAGCACCTGGAGCCGGCCTTGTACGACGCATGGTCCACAAAGTTAACGATCGCCAGCTTAGCCCAAGGCATGTAAACCTTGGCCGATGCCCGAGGCGTGTCTCAGAGATCCCTGTCCCAAGGCACAGCAAGGCACAGCAAGGCACAGCAAGGCACCACTCTCAATCTCAGCACACTCAAAAAAAATCGCTTTCCACCAATGCTCTCTCCGACTCTCTCCCTCTGGGCTTCAGAGTCTTCAGAAGCGAAAGTCTCAGCTGCACACGAAGTCATACATTGGTCTCTTGTAGCCTGGGTGTCAGAACTGGGCGAGGTCTTGGGGAGGTTGTGTGCTTCATGGATTGAAGTATTTCTAAAATAAACTTGAATATTAGACTCAATACCAGTAGTACCGCACAAGGCGGTGGCAGAAGTTTCAAAAACAGGAAACCTATAGGAAAGGTTGGTTGTTGCGAATCACGGATGGCAGAGCGAAGCCACTGATGGATCGAAAGGTGATTGATGCCTCCTCTCTTTCTCTCTCTTTCTCTCTCTCTCTCTCTCTGTCTGTCTGTCTGTCTGTCTGTCTGTCTGTCTGTCTGTCTCTCTACCTATCAATCTACCTACCTATCTATCTACCTACCTACCTACCTATCTATCGATCTATCCATCCGTCTATCTATCTATCTATCTATCGATGCAATCACCCCTGCAATGACCAATTGCTCAATCACCCTGCGCTTCTCAGAATTAAAAAACGATTCAAAAATGGCACGTCTTTGCTCAATCACCCTGTTAACGATGGTGGCACAGCAACAACCAAAATCACTCCAATGCCATTATTTGTTAGAACATGCATCGCAACCGCAAACGGTGACCGTAAACAACCAACTGCGAAGCAAACGATCCTCTGATTTTGTAACACTAAGAAGCAAAGTCCAAGAGCTGTATCTGTTGCACAGTGTTTCCTGCGGCCAGAAAAGACACGCAAAAAACAAAACAGTTTTGCATCCACTTGCACGAAACAAGGGTGCCTGCGACAACGGTGTTGGCTTGCAAAAACTTTTGGCGGTCAGACAAAACCCACCACAAACCTAAGCTGCTGGAAAATGCATTGCCGGTCGGACCGGTGCTGTGTTGCAAAAACTTTAGCTTCACGAAGCGTGCATCACTGCATGCGTCCCATCTTTCACTGCATGTGTCTCGGCCGATGCGGTCAGAAAAGACACACGCAGTCAGCGCTGACGCGGTGCGCATAACTGCATGGAAATGCCATCGTTTTTGGAAATGCTACAAAACCTTCACGTTTTGCTCACTTTTGACAAGGTGTACAATCCCTTGCACCTGCCACGCGAAACGACATCTGAACGTCCACAAGTGGTCCGAACCCCTAGTGTTCTTAACATTTTGACTTCGAAATGGGCTTCGCGCCACAACGGCGTGCACTTTTTCGACATCTCAACTTCCAAAAGTGGTCCGAGCATGTGGTGTTTTGTACATTTTGACTTCGAAATGTGCTTCGCGCCACAACGGCGTGCACTTTTTCGACATCTCAACTTCCAAAAGTGGTCCAAACCTGGTGTGTTTTATACATTTTGACTTCGAAGCGTGCTTCGCGCCACAACGGCGTGCACTTTTTCGACATCTCCACTTCCAAAAGTGGTCCGAGCATGTGGTGTTTTGTACGTTTTAACTTGGAGATGTGCTTCGCGCCACAACGGCGTTCACTTTTTAGACATCTCAACTTCCAAAAGTGGTCCGAGCATGTGGTGCTTTGTACATTTTGACTTCAAAATGTGCTTCGCGCCACAACGGCGTGCATTTTTTCATCTCTCATCTGGCCAGATGGCTCCGCACCCGCCGCTTTAGCGAGCCTACTTTTCGACCCTCCGGAAAAATACAGTGTTTTCGCGACTTTCCTACCTTTTCGCACACCTGCATCTTCTTTCTTCTGACTCTTTCTCTTCTCTGATCTTCTCTCTTCTGCTCTTCTCTCTTCTACTCTTCTCTTCTCTCTGACTCTTCCCATCTCTGCTTTTCATCTGTCCATATTGTCGGAAGTTTGACTTCTAAACTTCCTTCAATTACCAGTAGTACCGCACAAGGCGGCGGCGGAAGTTTCAAAAATAGGAAACCTATAGGAAAGGTTGGTTGTTGTGAATCACGGATGGCAGAGCGAAGCCACTGATGGATCGAAAGGTGATTGATGTCTCCTCTCTTTCTCTCTCTTTCTCTGACTATCTACCTACCTACCTACCTATCTATCTACCTATGTATCTATCTATCTATCTACCTACCTATCTACCTACCTACCTATCTATCTATCTATCTGTCTGTCTATCTATCTATCTATCTAGCTATGTATCCATCTATCCATCTTTCTATCTACCTATCTATCTATCCATCTATCTATCTACCTATCTATCTCTCTCTCTCTCTTTCATCTGTCTATCTGTCTAGCTGTCTACCTGTCTATCTGTCTATCTACTATCTATCTATCTGTCTATCTGTCTACCTGTCTATCTGTGGTGCAGTGTCATTCAGTGTAATGTAGTGTAGTGTAGTGGAGTGTAGTGGAATGTAGTGTAGTGTAGTGTAATGTAGTGTAGTGGAGTGTAATTTCGTGTAGTGGAGTGTAGTGGAGTGTAGTGGAGTGTAGTTGTGTAGTTGTGGTTGTGGTGTAGTGGAGTGTAGTGTAGTGTAATGTAGTGAAGTGTAGCGGAAGGTAGTGTAGTGTAGTGTAATGTAGTGTAGTGTAGTGTAGTGGAGTGTAGTGTAGTGTAATGTAGCGTAGTGTAGTGTAATTTAGTGTAGTGGAGTGTAGTGGAGTGTAGTGGAGTGTAGTGGAGTGTAGTGGAGTGTAGTGGAGTGTAGTGGAGTAGTTGTAGTTGTAGTGTAGTGGAGCGTAGTGTAGTGTAATGTAGTGTAGTGGAAGGTAGCGTAGTGTAGTGTAGTGTAGTGTAGTGTGATTTAGCGTAGTGGAGTGTAGTGGAGTGTAGTGGGGTGTAGTGGAGTGTAGTGGAGTGTAGTGGAGTGTAGTGGAGTAGTTGTAGTTGTAGTGGAGTGTAGTGTAGTGTAGCGTCATGTAGTGTAGTGGAAGGTAGCGTAGTGTAGTGTAATGTAGTCTAATGTAGTGTAGTGTAGTGTAATGTAGTGTAGTGGAAAGTAGTGTAGTGTAATGTAGTGTAGTGTAGTGGGTTGTAGTGTAGTAGTGTAGTGTAATGTAGCGTAGTGTAATTGAGTGTAGTGTGTTGGAGTGTAGTGTGGTGGTTGTAGTTGAAAATGCTACAAAACCCTCACGTTTTGCTCACTTTTGACAAGGTGCACAATCCCTTGCGCCTGCCACGCGAAGCGACGTCCAAAAGTGGTCCGAACCCCTAGCGTTTTTAACATGTTGACTTCGAAATGGGCTTCACGCCACAAGGGCGTGCACTTTTTCGACATCTGAACCTCCAAAAGTGGTCCGAATCCCTGCTGTTTGTAACATTTTGACGTCGAAATGTGCTTCGCGCCACAACGGCGTGCACTTTTTCGACATCTCAACTTCCAAAAGTGGTCCAAACCTGGTGTGTTTTATACATTTTGACTTCGAAGCGTGCTTCGCGCCACAACGGCGTGCACTTTTTCGACATCTCCACTTCCAAAAGTGGTCCGAGCATGTGGTGTTTTGTACGTTTTAACTTGGAGATGTGCTTCGCGCCACAACGGCGTGCAATTTTTCATCTCTCATCTGGCCAGATGGCTCCGCACCCGCCGCTTTAGCGAGCCTACTTTTCGACCCTCCGGAGCCACAAATCCTTGGAAAAACACAGTGTTTCGCGACTTTCCTACCTTTTCGCGCATCTGCATCTTCTTTCTTCTGACTCTTCTCTTCTCCTCTTCTCTCTTCTAATCTTTCTCTTCTCTCTGCCTCTGCCCTACTTTGCTTTTCATCTGTCCATATTGTCGGAAGTTTGACTTCTAAACTTCCTTCGATTATATATTTAAGTGCCATGTGAGACAGCATCCAAAGAAAATGCGGAGTTTCGTGATGGAAACTGTGTTACAGTCAGACTCTCTCTCCGCACGCACCACGGTGTTATCACAGGGGACCACTGGGTGAGTACTGGGCCGCGGAACCCAAAGCTACTGTCAGCACATTGAGCAGTGTCATAATCTCCTGAAAAAGGCTGCGAGCTGTCCGTGCTGTGAGGGCAGGAGAGGATCCTTTCCACGACTTTTGAGTCTTTTGATGTCTTTTGTTTCTGAGGTAAATCATTCGGTAGAAGAATGATCAAATGGATTCAAATGGTTCTATTCATCTAACCGAAAGGTTTCAAACTGAGTGCTTCGACTTTGAAGCCAAATTGCTTCGTCACTCCGCTCCTGGTTAGTCAACTTCAAATGCGTACTCCTCATGACTAGAGTGGTGGCACCTGCCAGAAACTTCCGTTCTCGGCAACTTTTGACCGTATAGATCCGTATAGCTTGAATTGAGGCTTCAGGTGGTTTGCTTGAGATTGAATAAGAGCTGTCAAAAGAAACACTACGGTAGTGAAGTTTAATGAATGACAGTCATGTTAACGACAATAATTCACCACTACAAAATACTACAAACATGTCCTGAATTCTGCGCAGAATGCTGGGCCTTGTGCCAATGGACGTTGAAGTGTCGGCACGTTCATGATGCCCGGCTACCAACGCACCAAGTCATGATTGTGACGCAAAAAAAATGACCTTGGAACTACCTTGGAACTTGGATAGCTTGGATAGGGTGCAGATAATCTATGAATTTCTCATATTGTTTTTTGTTGGCTTTGGCATATTTTGATTTGTCATATGTTGATAGCTTTTCTGTATTTTCAATATCGTGTGTGCAACGGCTCGAAGCCGGAGCACCCTTGATATGCAACCCTCACGGCGTCACACACTTCACTTCTGACGTCTACGCAGACGTCTTGAGCCACAAGAGCCACGATTCGAAGATGTTCGAAGACGTTCGAAGTCATTTGCAACACATGCAACACATGCAACACATTCAGCACGTGCAGTGTACTCAATTGTATCTCAATTGTCATATGTCACTTTATTTCGATGTTTCTATATGTTTCGATTGGGCATTGCTTTGCCGCAGGCTTTGCCATACTTCAAATGTTTTGTTTCTGGTGGAACCCCGCAAAAGTGCTGCGGGACCGTGGCGCAGCGGTTTTTCTTCCCTAAAAACACCTGTAGCGCTGCATGCCACCTGCGCATTGACTGGGTAATCTCATAGTGGGGACATCTACACATAAGCGAAAGGAGGTGAAGAGTAGAAACAAGTTAATTCAGGGCAGAACTGCGTCATGATGAGAGTGTCGCTACTGGAAACGATTTTCCACAAATCAGTCACGTCAGATGTCAACTTGGAGAAAAGCCTCAACGCTGAATGAACTGCATGGAGCTGATGGCGCCCAAGAAGAAGACCGTGGGAACCTGGCATCGCTGGTGACATGATAATCATGATATAATCATGATATGAGCTGACAATCGAAACGGGCATTGCGGCATTCTTCTTGTGCTTTCAATTTCTGGATATCTCGGCAGGATGCTTTGTGTTGTGAATTGCGACGTCTTTGCGCTCACTCTTCAGACAACAAAGGAAAGTCACCAAACCACCAGTGCAGAGTGGCAGGCCCTTTGCTGCAACAAGCCAAAAAAGGCGTGCAGAGTTTCCGACTTACGACTTCAATGGCTTTGATACTGCGAAGGTTTGGAAAGCTTCAGATCAAAGATGAAGCCTGACAAAGGTCTCATTTTGAATCTTTTTGAAACAAATGGAAAAAATGATATATTGAATATTTTGATACCTTCTTGGAGCCTCTTGGAGCCTCTTGGAGCCTCTTGGAGCCTCTTGGAGCCCAAAGTCTGCCACTTGATTCTGCCGCTCCAGGCACCCGGACCACCAGGGCATGGACAGCCAGCCAGCGGAATGTGAAGATTGGATATGCCACAGGGGTCCTAGCCATCGCCCCAAATCAGCAGGATGTACTGGGATGTACTGGGATGTACCGGGATGTACTGGGAAGCATGCAAATTACAAAGGCTTTCTGATCTTTTTACAAGGTATTCAGGATTATTCAGGTATGACTTTTCATCCGAGAATGCGGACGTTTGTGCCTGGCCACTGCAGGAGTCCTCGGAAGGGTCGCTTCAACTGTGAATCTCTGACATCGTTTTCAGGGTGGCCGGTTTTATCTTGCACAGAAGGTGGCAAACAAGACATGCTGACTGCCAAAGGGGTAAAAAGAACAATACTAAAATACTGTAGTACTCGAAAAAGGGTGGAGTCTGGCTTTTTGGGGGAAAGTCAAACTGCGATACACTCTCAGGCCCGTGCGGCTGCTCCGCTGCGCGAGCAGTACGGGGTTGTCGCTTGAATGCCTAAGGATCTTGTCTGCGGACAGTGCCCACAAAGATCGTTGTAGAATGTTGTAGATGTTGATTCATTTCATATATGTCATACGTGTCATACATTTTATTGTCATACCAGCACATTCGTTCTGAATATATACACAAGCTGAGAAAGCCACCAACGTTGCAGCAGTCGCATAACCCAAGCTCAGGCCCGCCAAGAGGCAAGACTGGCGGGAGTCATCCAGGAACTCACCAAAACCAGAACTTGAACCTGTCACCTTTGAAACATCTTTTCAATCCTTTTCAAAGATTTTGGAGATTTTTGTAGATTTTTGTATTGCGTTCATTGCTTTCATTGCTTTCATTGCTTTCCGTTGAGATCTAAAACGGTGCACGGTCGTTGCCGTCGTTGCCGTCGTTGCCGTCGTGTCAACACAGCGAGACGTGGCGCCGAAAACTCGGCAGCAGCACAGAGGTGCTTGGCTCCACCTGGACGACATCGGGACGACATCGGGACATTGTCTCGTCCCATTTCGGGCAAAGCTGCCAGGTCTGCCAGGTCCACTGCCAGGTCCAGATGGTCCAGTTCAACTCACCAGTATCACCAGTTAATTTTAATGTTAGTTTTGTTATATTTTGTTAACAAGTTTGGTTTTGATTTTAACTTGATTTTAACTTGATTTTAACTATGTTAATTTTAGGTTGTGATTCGTCAAAATCGCTGTCGCACCGCATTGCTTCCACGATCCCTTTCCAGCCTCAATCCCAACTGCCTCAATGGCCGCAGCTCCCTGCCAAACGAGCAGCGTATGTAAATATTATATATGTATATAGTTAACGTGTGTCGTTCTATGTCATTCTTTGTATTTTACAAGGTCAGCCAACAATTGGGTTAATACCAATGGGGTGAACCTAAAATCCGCTAAGCTGCAAGCTCTGTTTTGAACCAACGCTATCGGGCAGATCGATGATATATACAATACATGGTTTTACTGCAGGAGTTTTTACACCCCCCTCGGGCGAGCAGGGACGACTGCGGAGAACGAATAACCCAGAAAAGCATACCCTCGCAGGTAGCCGAATTTCTTTATATAGTTGGTTTTAGACATTTTGTGCAGTCTTTCAAAGGTCCCTCTAAAAAGCTCAAGCCCGTAAAACCCAGCGCAGCGTTGCAAGGAAGGCACATTACCATGCCACATCTTGCGCTATGCTACAAAAGAAAATCATCGTCTCCCTAACGGTTCCAAAAGATCCAACGGCCGCCGGCCTCGTCACGGTAATACCAAGCCCCACGCCAGAAACTCCATTCTCGGCGTGCACCATAGTGATCACGATTCCAACTCCAAGAGGCATCCGGGCGACCGGAGCTTGCAGCCTTCGAAGTGACTCCTGCGGTTGCTGCTTTTGCAGTGGGCGGTGTCTCAGGCTCCAAGAATGGTCGTGCTCCTGCTTTGGATGTTGGTGGTTCGGGTACCAGAAATGGTGCGGCTGGGACATCAGCGTGCGAGGCATCTGCGCGAGCAGAGCTTGAGGCGGCTGTGACATCTGTTGCGGTTGCGGATGCATCAGCTTCGGCTTTGCGCTTTCGCTCAATGGTGGGCGCGACCGTGGGGTCGGCCTTATGACCTCCAGGACCTCCAGCCTTTGCAGCGGCGCTCTGCTTCTCTTTGCGTTCAAGATTGCTCCGAACCAAGGGAAGGTTTTCCTCATACACCTTTTCGAGGAAATCACGAGTGCCATCAAGAGGGACTTGGACAGTACCCTTCCAGGTCAACAGGCCACGGAATGCGCCACGACGGCCGATGTAGCTGACATATTCATCCTCTGTAAAAATGTGGCGGCCAAACATGAAACCCCAGACCTTCTTCCATGTTTTGCGGAACTCAACTGGGAAGCCATCAACGCCACGAGGCTGAGACATGAAAATCAACTTAGATAAGCAGTTCTCATTTTGGGCATTGGCGGCGACGCCAGCCGAGATCTGAGCTTTGGTCCTTGGGGGATCGGGGAGGTTGCCATATGCGAACATATCGTCAAATATGCAGTCCTGCAGGTCCTTCCCCTCACCGTGGATGCGGTCGCAAAAAGTGACGTCGCTGGTGTATCTATCTTCCACGTCCTCGTAGCCCAGCGCTTTTGCACGTCGATGCCTGTCGCGGCAGTCTTTGAGGACTGCTGATTCCACGGATGTGATTCCCCTGGGGCCCAGTTCTCGGCGTAGCAGGTTGGCTTGCTCTTCCGTCAAGGCTGTCAGCAAGCTTCCGCTCATCTTCCCAAACATTCCGAACCCGGCGAGACTTTGCATTCGCCGTTCAAGGATGCGGGTCCTCCTGTTGGGTTTGTTGGCCTCTTTTGTATCGCCACTTTCGTCCACTGGGAGTGGCTCAAAACCACATGTGGTGCATGTCACTTGGCCACTGACGTACTCAACCTGGCAGAGGGGACAGGAGCCCATGAAAGGTTCGCAGTACTTGGGTGCAATGTAAACACGGCGCGTCCTTGCGGGCGGCTGGTCAACTTGCATTGAGGCAGTGGCTTCATCATCATCAGTGGACTTGGCATCGGGTCGCCCCGTGCTGGTGTCATCCATTGGGTCGTCATTTGCATCATCTCGGGCAGTCAAGGTGACCGCTTTGGCTTTCGGTGCTGAGGCAGATGCCGCGCCAGTCCATGTGCTGGGCTCGAGATTGCTCTCGGCGCGGGACCAAAGCACCTGTCCTTCTTCTGAGATGCTGACCAGAAACTGCGGTGGGATGCGTTCTGAGCACAAAATCCCATCCATTTCTGTGCGACTAAAGATGACACCAGCTTCAACTGCTTGCCGCATTGCGATTTTGACTTCGATTGGACATTTTGCTCTTAATCCAGATCGATACCCCTGCGTGCCAATACAGTGTTCTGCCATGTAGATATGGGCACGGCCACTGTTGACTGTTGCACCGCCGCCTGGGATCAGGCCGTTCTGTGCGATGCTCTTCCAGCTGCTTTTCATCGTGCGATGGAAGACAACCTCAGGAACCTCAGTCATGGCACACAGGGGCACGCCAGTGAAGGCGGCTTTTCGCTCGGGGGATACATGGTCTGAGCAATACACCATGGTTGAATTGGCATAAAGACCCCCTGCGGTTTTCAAGGCAGCTTCGGAGTGACCCTGAATTGCACGGATTTTCACAGGATAATACGGCATGCCTAGGCCATTGTCGACAGGGAAATGGGAGATCTTTGCACACAAGAATTGGAACCTACTCTTGCCATGCTTGTCGATCTTCATTGCGGTGCCAAACAGGTTTGCGACAGTGATGAAAACATCTGGGGGCACTTCCTTGCGGAAGGCTTTGGCGAAATCCTCCAAGTCAATCCAAAGGTCTTTGTCCATTGGCACCTTGGCACAGGATCCATGCCCCCTGCAAACTTTGTTGACACGAGTTGCAAAATCAGAAAACTTCTTGTCGACGCGAGTCTGGCTGGCAATGGTCTCAACGTCGGATGCCGATATCAGCTCCAGCTCATAAGCCGTACCTTCAAAGAGGATGCCAGGCACATCGTCCCCGTCTGCATTGGTCACCATTGTATATTGGTATTCAGGCAAATGCTCTTCCATCCAATATGCTTTCACGTGGCCAGATGCTTGTCCCTCGAAGCGCGCAGTTGCCTGCGGCTGGTACTGGCTGGATGTGGCTCCCTTGTCATCTGCGGGCTCATCCATTGATGCTGGTGCTGCTTTCGGCCGCGACTTCAACATGACCTCAGCTGTCTGGACCAGGATTGTTGCTCTGCTGGATGCAGCGGGCTCGCCGTCGCCGGCGGCCTTTGGAGGGTCATCTTTGGGAGGCTCAGCAAACGTGCCCGAAGGCAACGTCTTGATGTCGATGTAGTCCTCAGTGTCAGGTTGTTGAGCTTCGACGTCCTCCTTGGTGAATGACCTGCCCGTCGGCACGATGTGTCTTCGGGACTCTCCAAAAAGCAACTTGGTGATGTTTGCACATGTCTCCTGATAGGACCTTGGCAGCTCGTCCAGGACGGCGCTCATGTTCCTCCGCAAATCATCCCATGTCTCCTGGGCACACTCAGAAAGCTCCAAACCAATTTGGCCGACCCGCCATCCGGAATCAAGTGCAAAAAGGGTAGCTGTCCAATAGGCAGCAAGGCGCGTGCGATTTTCTTCAGAGTTGGCGAAATGCCACTGGTCTCTGAATTCCATTGCATCGGCGTACCCCTTTGCTTTTAGCCACGGATACCGCGGATTGGCACGCCCTTGCAGGCTGCTGGTTAGAGCTTTGAATCGGGGCTCCAAATGGTCGAAAAATTGATCGAAGATTGGATGAATGCCGTAATCTGCGCTCCAGGGCGCGGTCGTGAGACCGGCCGTCTGCAAGTCCAACTCCCGGGCCTTGTTGATGAACCATGTCAAGTGGCGCTCACAATCATCCAGGATCGTGGGCCAGTGCCCGTTGGGACCATCGTACGGCCAATTTGGATTTTGGGCAATTCCATCCTCCCCTACCAATTCATTTCCGAACCAGGACAAGTGCAGGTTGATGCGTGCATGAGGATAGCGCTCGCGGGCGTCCGCGGCCAATTCGATCCCTCTCTTTACCAACTTCTGCAAAGTTTTGCCCCAAAGCATCTCGTGGATGAACTCAGTCACGTACTTGGGTTTGCGCTGTCGGTAGTGCTCGGAAAGATCAAACTTCTTAAGTGTCTTCCTACGCCCTGTGATCAATGCACATGACGAGTCAGAGACTAAGATCCAGATTACGTCATTGACGGGCATCTCTGGCAGCATGATCTTTTCGATGTGGGACTCCTTTGGCAAAAAGCAGAAACTAAGGTATTCTGCAAGCGGATCCTCTCGACCATAGAACCTCAGGGCCGAAGCCGGCGTCCATTCGGTCATCAAACCATCCACAAGGTCCTGAGCAGCCTGATTCTCACCTTCATTGCGCATGGCCAATGCATACAAAATGCGATTGTGAAGGAGCAACCATGCTTCTTTGTTAGCCTCACGTGTGGCTTCGAGCGCAGCCTCGCGGCTGGCCGGGTGTGCTGTGGCATATCGTGAGTCAGCCATTTTTGCAGGACAGGCACGAATGACAACGGGTGAAATCCTTTTGGATGTTTGGCCCACCACAGCTACCCGGAAACACTCATGGAGCATGTCAGTCAACTTGAAGGTATAGTTCTCAGCAAGTTTAAGAGCTTTGCCCCTACTTTGATCATGCTCATGTTTGCCATCACATTTGAATGAGTCTAACACGGTGAGTTCTTTAAAATTTCCTGCAATAGTCCAACTTTTCTTCATTGGTTGACCGTTGTTTCCAAGAACACCCAACATACAACCGTCAAAGTGATGAGTAGTCATGGATCGTTCTTTGAGGAATCTTCTAACCATCGGCCATCTCCAATATTTGCAGTTCTTGGACAGTTCAAATGCTATCAAGGTTCGTTCATCATAAACTTCATCCACAAGTTTGACAAAAGATTTGAACAGCTTGGTAAACTGTTTTTGTTGCTCTTTGATTCTTTCCTGACCCTCAACAGTAAGGCCATTCACGTTCCCCCATGGGCTACCTCCTACACAAGGCAACGATGCATAGAGTATCAAAGTGCCGTCATTGAAATCATTTCTGAAATCTTGGACTTGGGAGGCTAGCCGTTGCCGACAGCTGTTAGTGGTACCATCATCTTTTTCGGTAACCCTAATGCAGTGGCAATCTTCATTGGACTTTCTTGGGGTACTAAGCTTCGAATCATCAGAGCAGCAAAATTCGATCAACATTCTGGGCTTAAA